GTGTGTGTGTGTGTGTGTGTGTGTGTGTGTGTGTGTGTGTATGTATTTTTGCTCATTAGGTTTCTGTTAGGCTTACTGCAGTTGTTTCAATCGATTGCTAACATTTTATTATAATATTTTGAAAAACTATACCTGCGCAGCCTTTCAGGCCTAGGATTCCTTAAAGTGTATCTTAACCCCCTGTGAAAAGATAACTCCGCCCCAAGGCGAAATTTGAAAAATGCATCAAAGTGGGTAGGGGAAGTGGGGTTAGAGAGCGGAGGTGTGGCCAGGACGAGAGAACGTGACAGCTAGCATTAGCATAATTGATGCTACATGGAGAGTGACCACAGCGACGCAGATAGTTACATCTCTGAACGTCTGAGGTGGAGGATTTTTCACCCCCCTCCTCACCAGAGGCAGAGAGAGACTTGATCAAGTCAGTTTAGTCTGGGACTGACTCATGTTGGCTCCCTGGATCAGGATCTTGAGCTCCAGCAGCCTTGGCTGAGCTGTCCGCCTCATACCACACCAGCACCGGACAGAGGAGGTGGAGCGCTCCGACAGCCTGACAGAAAAAAATAAAAGCATACAGCTGCAGCTGCTCACAAGATTGCTAGTTTAAATCAGGAATAAAAGTGTTGGGTCTTGTTTGACTGAAGTTTGGTCCGTTAGGGCTGCAGCTGCCCCACTGTCTTTCTGCCTTTTTTCCCCCTCCCGCTGTGCAGGACGTACTGCTATGAAGGATAAGGATATGAAGTGAACGAGGGCTAAAACTATTACCAGTTCACATTTGGTAACAGCAGCATCAAAAATAAAGATTTGAGGCACAATATAATCCAACATGTCCATCATGCTTAGACAGGTCTCCAGCAAAGGTCCAAACTGGACAAATATTTCCTAATATATCAACACAGAGACTTCACTGAGGGCTCAAATGAGAGATAAAACCTCCATGAATCATTTTCCACCATCCATACTTACTCACTGAATGAGTAAATGACAAAAAAAACAATGATTACCAGCAATAATCACAGCCTGGGGAACATGCAGCAAATCCCCACCAACAAACAGCCAAAACACAAACAAACAAACACTTCCTTTTTTAAAGCATTACAATCCACAAAGCTTATGAAACCAGCAGCAGCAAAAAATAAAAGTTTTTCACTTACTTTTGATGCAGAATTTGTCCTCTTTTACTGACCAAAAAATATCCAAAATGGCATCCAGATTGAAGTTATCCTTCTCTCATGAAGTTTCCTGGCCACAAAAAATCCCTCTTCCTGGACTTGAAGCACTCAAAACACTCCATAAGAAATATATTTCCTCTTTAACAACATATTTAGTCAGTCAATTGTCCCCCAAAAAAGAAAAACACCATAAAAAACATGTTTTCTATAAGTGCTGTTGTCACCACTCACGGGACAAAATGGCTGCCATGTCAAATATCAAACTTTTACAAGAAGGTCCACACCCCACAAAGCTACATATTGAATAAAAGGTAACTTGATTGGCTATACCGCGGTTGTGTCAGAATGAATCTCAGACCTGACTGGTCAATACAGTCAATCAATCATGTGTGCCTTGGGTGGGACATGAGGAGCTTGTCACACATTTTGGGCTCTGGAGAGCCAATAGATTAACCCAGTTGGTCAAAAAAAAAAAGGTGTCAATCAAAAGAAGACAACCAGTCAAATTGTTTGAACAACATACTATGCAAGTTCAAAGTACCTTGGAGCCTTGTCAAGCTACTGAAGAAGCAGGAAGTAACCATACACTGGGAATGTACAGAGGGCCGTGCATTGCGGGTTAACAGGTTAAGACAAAAAGACTATATTTATGTTAAAGTCATTTAGAATTTAAATATACTGAAATTACTTCTTTCTTTTTTAGCCTCAGATTTTGCTGGCTAGGGATGATTTTCGATTGCTCTACAAGTCCCAACACTAGTGTGCTATAGGCCTGGGTGAGCAACATTTTAGGGTCATTTAGTCTTGGTTAAAGGCAGCTATAAAACCGCCACACATCAAAATGAAACATGAGCACACTCCGCTACCCATCAGTATCATACCTAATATTTCAAACATATAACACTGTCAGAGAATAGTTGCACTGAGGTATTTGTTGCAACAACTAACATAAAAATAACATTGTGAACAATCTCATGCAACATCTTACTAAATCTGTGCATAAGTATGTGTTGTAAATGACACTTTGGTACTACTACATCCATTTTATCTGTAAAACTGACTAAAATACAATCTGTTATGTGACACTTATATTGTAAGTAACAAAACACTTACTGACTTGTCTACTTTTTCCACAAAACAAAATGCAATTTTAATACATACATATATAT